CTCTGTGTCTTCTATCGTTTAGAAGTCAGCGTTACAGGTGGGTGCACCAGATGTGAGAATCTAGCCACCCAAGGAAGGGATGAATTTACTAAGACAACACACTGTCTTAGAAAACAGAGCCAAAGGGTCGTAGCTTAGACTATTCCACAATGCAGCAATCAGGTGTGTGATGTAGTGAAGTGGTTCAGACAAGTTGCAACAAATGTTGAGTCTGGGAACTCAGGGGTAAGTCAGAGGTTAACACCTCACTGACTTTTCAGAAACAAGGAGTAACAAGATGAATGCTTGGAAGCTTGGAAAAGACGTGGAAGTATGTGATAGTTGATTTACTGTATTGTCTGCTTGCCCTTTCTTAAGGAAAGGGCAATCCTATTTATGCTAAAGGAATGTAGTTCTCTCATTTTCCAAGACTTTCCATGACTAACCAGGCTTGGTAACTGTAGTCGACGTAAGAGAATCCCATAGAACCATCTCTTAGGTTCGTAGCCTATAGGAAGTAAAAGGAGGTCCAAGGTCAGAGTACCCCTATAGACAAATTATGTCATAGACAAATTATGTCATAGACAAATTATGTCATAACTTAACCAATCTTGTGGGTAACTAAAGAGCGATGACATGTAATGAATCATAGAGGTTCATAGGAGCTTTTAGAGCTATCGTTCATGCTCCTAGGCCTCTAGTTGGTAGAGATATGTCATGTGGTAGTATGAGTGATGTCATGTAATGAATCATAGAGGGTTGTAGAGATATGCTATGTGGTAATATCGGCCCAGTAACTAAGGAGCGATGACGTGTAATGAATCATAGATGGTTGTAGCAATCGTTGAGTAGTATTGCTCTTGTTGTTGGTGTGATAAGCCAAAATATGTATAGTGACTTGTAGGTTTGAGGAGGAGATTTCCAAGTTTGCTCTTGAGTTTGATAGCAAACTGAGTGCAACGAATGTCAGTATGACACTCCTCTCTCCTCCTACCATGCCCAACCTGCCCCTCTAGGCTCCCTGACCCCTCTATAGAGATGAACCCGGCTGGCACCCCATCCTCGAAGCTGACGAAGTTCATCGCCAGCTCCTGGATGTGGTGGCGCAGTCGAGCCATCTCCCTAGATGGAGGGGAGGCGCACCGGAAACAGCAGATGGCAGCCGCAAGCTCCTCCGTAGGATTAAACCTACCACGGGAAGCAGCAGCAGCGGTGACGCGATCCGCCAGTGTCATGACACTCCTTCAATATTTGTGTCATGACCCTTCGATTCACTTTAGTCTCTAGTACTTATTTCACTATGTCATTCACTTCACCTGCTTCGCTCACTTCGCTTCACTTGCTGACCTAGATCAGCCCAAATGTTGACTACTGGCTTAGGCTCTCTTGTTATTGGCTCGCTTTACTAGGGCTCGCTTAGCTAGGTTCGGTTAAGTAGTGCCTTCACCTATTTGGCACTAGGGATTTTTACTGTTATATAAGCACTTATTGCTCATGTCTCTTATTGATCTTTACCTAACAAATTATACACTACTTGGCCTTCTTGCAATTCCTCCTGCTTCGACTTACTTTGCATTCCCTTACTTCAAGTCAAACCACTTTGTCATACTGACATTCGTTGCACTCAATTTGCTATCAAACCCAAGAGCAAACTTAGAAATCTCCTCCTCAAACCTACAAGTCAACATACATATCTTGGCTTATCACATCAACAACAGAAGCAATACTACTCAACGATTGCTGCAAACTCTTCGACTACATCTGTTTATGCTACATACATCACGGCATATCATTTGAACACTCATTGAACAAGTTATTAAGAAAATCTCCTCCTTAAGGGGGTGGGCCAATACTACCACATGGCATATCTCTACCAACTAGAGGCCTAGGAACATGAACGATAGCTCTAGAAGCTTCTACAACCCTCTATGATTCATTACACGTCATCGCTCCTTAGTTACCCACAAGATTGGTTAAGTTATGACATAATTTGTCTATAGGTACTCTGACCTTGGACCTCCTTTTCACTTCCTATAGGCTAGGAACCCAAGAGATGGTTCTATGGGATTCTCTTACGTTCACTACATGATTAGCAAGCTAGTTGTGGGTCGCACTTGATTTCTAATACATTTACCAAGCCTGGTTAGTCATGGAAAGTCATGGAAAATGAGAGAACTACACTCCTTTGGCATAAATAGGATTGCCCTTTCCTTAAGAAAGGGCAAGCAGGCAATACAGTAAATCGACTATCACATACTTCCACGTCTTTTACAAGCTTCCAAGCATCCATCTTGTTACTCCTTGTTTCTGAAAAGTCAGTGAGGTGTTAACCTCTGACTTACCCCTGAGTTCCCAGACTCAACATTTGTTGCAACTTGTCTGAACCACTTCACTACATCACACACCTGATTGCTGCGTTGTGGAATAGTCTAAGCTACAACCCTTTGGCTCTGTTTCCTAAGACAGTGTGTTGTCTTAGTAAAATCATCCCTTCCTTGGGTGGCTAGATTCTCACATCTGGTGCACCCACCATTACATGCTGTTGACGATGAATCCCTTTTCCAGGTTTTCCAGCAGGTATTGCTTCGTAGCCTTAAGCTCTTCGGTGCCCTGTCGATATAACGGGGAGAAAGCGTTTGGTAAAGGGCTTCGAGCTGTATCTTGTGGTCGTATATGCGGTGGGGGGGGATTCGATCCGATTCCAACTTCGAAAAGACATCGGTGTACCTCCGGTGCATATGCGGAAGCTTCTGCTGGATGAGGCGGAGCGTTTCTTCGTCCTCTACCAACTCCTTTTCATGAATGATCTGATCGATTTCGTAGATGCTAGTCTGAAAAAACTCGGAGTCGTTTCGCATCATCTCGTGGTGGAAAGCATTTGCACTGATTTCGCATATATGCATGGGCGTAAACCTATGTACTAGGGTTTTCTGCGGTGGGGGAGAAACCTCCTGGTTTCGTGGTGGGTTCGATGGCGTATCAGTGATCTCTTCGTAGTCGGAAGTTATCACTTTCATTTCCATTGAACGTCCGCCTGCGCGGCGTCTGTCTTTGCAGTGGATTGCGAAATCCCGGCGATTCGCATCCGACTGGTATGCAGGATGTTTAATGGACGTTTCGCGTGAGTGGTAGGGCAAGGTGATCTCCTTGCTCCAGCTAGGAGTTGGCGGGTACTCCTTTGGCCATACTAACCGGCTCTTTGCAGAGTCGAGTAGTATTCGGAAGCAGCTGAAAAGCTTCTTCCCAATTATCACATCTTGTGCTCCGAGGTCCAGGAGTACAAAGGGGCAGTTATATATTCGGCGTCCTTCGACTGTTAAGTGTAACCGAATATACTCCGATACGTGGCCTTGGATTTTGCACTGAAATCCACGTATGGGTACAGAGTAGGGTAGTTTCTGTATAGGGCTCTGAAGTGCTTTCGACAGTCTCCTGGCCTGTTCCATCTCGTTGCCTGTGAGGTAGTATGAACCTAGTAGATCCATCATCTCCTCAGCACTGCGGAACCCATGCGTAGCGGACAGGTATTGGGGCTCTAGGTAGGTCTTCGCCAGGCCGGTCGTAGTTCCCCATATCAACGCTCTTCTCGAGACGTCGGTAAGATAGTGATCCTCATTGACTACGAGTCGGTCCCGAATTGAAGCGCTCCATTGTAAGAAGGTATGTTCTACCCCATCGCTGAGAGGAAGGATTTTCTCAGAGATGGTTGATTTCTTATAGCGATTCGGAGGGTCCTCGGTGTGCATTCGTGATGACCCTGGAATCGAGGGAGAACGAGTGTTCCGAAGAGGTGGCAATTGAACCGTCTCGGGTGTGTTTCGTGTACGAGGCGTTCGTTGCTCCGTAACTTCGACTGTGGGTATGGGGGCGTCCACTGGCGGTGTGGACGGGATTCTGGTCTGGGATGCTGACAGGATAACTAGTAGATCCTTGACCTCCTGTATCTGTGCTTCGAGGTGGGCCATTCGACTCGGGATGTCTTCGGATGGCACAGACGTCGTAGCTGCAGTGGTGGTTTGTCTGGTAGTCATTCTGGGCAGTTGACCGTCGTTGTCTTGGGGTATGTTTGATGTCGGCTTTTTCGACATATTGCCTCGGGTGTGTATCGGTACCGATACGAAAGAGCTTGACTTCCGGTAGCTCGTAGCTATCAACGCTCTTGTCCACAATTTCCTCTGTGCTATGAGGGGGTTCTTAAGGATCTCGTATCCTATTTGGCGCCAACGCGTCGGCGACTTTACCAGCTTGTTCTGAAGAATCAAACCCTGATCCACTGGCTGTCCGTGAGATCTCTGGAATCACGGCTATTTGAAGTCGTCAGGTCTCTCCTCCGAAACATCACCGAGTCGCAGTCGATGGTGTAACGGTAGTTCTCCTGAGTCGTTCCAGTGTGGGATATTATTTAAGTACGGCCGTCCCCGGCAGGCGTGATCTTTTTTGTATAATGTAAGGACACAGGGCACCCAGCTCACAGTAATAGCATATGAGAGTGCGAGTCGGAGGCTAAACGGATGCTATCCTATAGGTGTACTACGAAGGATACAAAAAAGATGAAGGGGGAACCCCGTTGAGTCTGTTTCCTTAACTCCCGAAACGGGCCCGACTCGGTTATCCCAACCCTAGCCCTGAACCTTCCACCGCAACAGGTCTGCATCGGCCCTGAACCCTATACACTTACCGTCCCCCACTATAGTGTAACTCGCCATATGCTCCTCTACTGGTTCGAAACCCCACCGAGTCGGATTCCATGCTTGTAGTGACCGTAACACTTCTGAGACAGGTTCTTCGAGTATCTAGGTACGGAGGCATCCTTACAAAAAGGACGAAGAGGAATAAGGTTGGTGGTTGGGGTTTACTTACGTAACCGCTTACAAATCCAGTGGTGTCCGCGATGTCGTTCGCTTAGTATTCGGACACCGGCGTCCGTATTGGAACTCCCTCGTACAGTAGGGTGCTGAGTCAGCAGAACCCTGCACACAGAAATACTCCAGGCTAACGGTCGTCGAAAATGGCGGGGATGAAGAACAACCAGCGTCTACCAACACCTGCGCCCGACCTCCCCGGATGCTACATGACCAAATTCATGGTCGTTGTTGAATCTTGGGGACGTCACTGCATTTGTCACACCCGACATCACCACCAACGAGGTCCCATTCAATAATCCGGAGAGACACCCAAACTATTTAACGATGGCTGCCGAGGCTGCGAAGAACCTACAAGGCAACCGCACCCGCCCAAGGTCTATTGTTCCTGCTACCCCCCTGCCATACGTGCAGAAGCGTAAGCTGGCAGGAGCTCCACGCAAAGAGAAGACAGAAGTCCCGTCTGATACTACTGTTGATAGCTGCACTTCAACTTCAAACACTTCGTCGGCGACAGTTGAGGCGTGCCGCTCGACTGATACTAATGGCACTTCCGATCAAGAAACAAAGCAGAAGGTCGACACTGTATACTCTGCTGCCTCCCCTTTGACTTCTGAAGTAGAAGAGAATCAACCATTGGACCTTCCTGACAACAACCTACGCGCCCACGAACAGGAGCACAGTGAACACGAGGTTACCACAGAAGGATATGATGCTCACGGTAAGAAAGGAATGCAATTCTTGATCTAAGCAATTGCTTCGCAGACAAATGCTAATTAAGTAATAGGGGCTCAGCCAGGCCAAACTACACAGGAGGATAAAACTCAAGTTGAGAAAGTGACACGTCAAGTAGATCCTGTTCCAACTTCATCCAACAAGCAACCTAACGCCTCGAAATCTTCCTACAATATGCCTCCAGCACAGTTTGTCCCTAGCCAGCATACTCTGCCAAACCGACCAGCTCTTGATGCTGAAGCTTCGACATACACAAAGTTCCAAGTGTCTGGTGGGCCTCACTCAATGCACCATACCCATCCCAGCCAAGGAAGCATGGTGTTCGGTGGCTATTCTGATTCGAACAACTCCTCGCCAGCGCCGCCTCTTTCGTCTGCAGGCATGCCTCAATATCCATACCCGCCGCCACCACCTACGAATGGCCATATGCATCACCTTTCCAACGGCTTCCAAGTCCCACCACCTCCGGGATTTGGCTTCCAGCAGCAGCATGGTAGTCATATTGTGCACAGTCCAGCGATGGACGGCTTTTCCCGCCGGCATCCACCACCTTTCCCACACCCGGAAGGATACTCACCCTCAGCTACTCCTGGCATAAACGATAATCGCCGACAGCAATTTTATGACCCGTCAACCTCTCATAGCCTTCGCTCTCATTCATCGGCCCCTCATGAGCATGATCCTCGACCCACCCAGTTTCCCAATCCAAATGCAACTTCTCGGGCGACCAACGGAAGCAATGGCCATACTGATGATGGCAAGGTTTACTACCAACCTCAGATGAGTGGCCGCGGTGGTTCGGGCCTACACGGCGCTGTTCCACATCCATCCGTGGATAACCTTGATGGACTACTAGGCTATATCCAAGGCCAGTTTGCTGATCCTACCTTCGCCGATTATACGCTGGAAGTACGATACACGGATGACCGTGCCAAACCAATGCGTATTCCAGGACACAACCTCTTGTTTGCCAGAAGCCCAACACTGAAACGTCTCATGATAGCCCAGGCCAACGACGGAAGCAGCGAAAGCTCGTCTCGCACAATTTTAATCGAGACTGCTGACCGATTCCTGAGCTCAGATGGGTTCTGGATCGCATTGCAGCGTCTCTACGGCGGACCTCTTCATAGCCTGGATACCCCACCAACTCCCGGCCGAAACATGGAAGCCCAGAATTTGGCGACTTCGAATCCTGCTAGCTTCCATAGGTTTGATTTGGCCCTTGGCTACGCTGCTGCTGGGCATATTCTTCAAATCCCTCCAGTCTTGAGCCGAGGCATCGAAGTTGCATGCCATCTTGTCAACTGGCTTACGATTGAGAAAGCCCTCGATTTTGCACTCGATGGAGGCCTCAGCTCGCAGTGGACTCTGGACAATAACTTCAACGGAGTTTGTCCGAGCACGTACGGGCCAGCTGTCGACATGCTCATTCACAGTGCTCTCGGCTTCTTGATCGCCAACTTCCCGCCTCACCTGGATTTCGATGTGACTGCCTCTGAGCCAGCATTCAATAGCCGCCTGCCTGTTCTCAGCAAGGCCAAGGTCTCAAAACACAACCCTCGGTTAAGCTCGATCAAGTTCGGCGATCATCCTATAGAAGAGCCTATTATCCCCACTCTCAAGAATGCAAACGCTGCATCTCTTATTTCCGGGATACTTATCAACCTGCCATTCCAGCTGCTGAAATACGTGCTGGAAGCACCATCTCTGGGGAGCCATGATTGGGCGACGTCTACTATGCGTCAAACTGTTATGCAGGAGGTCATCAACGAGCGCGAGAAGCGTCGTATTGGCGTCCTAAATGATAGGAGTGCTTCCAACGATGTACGCATGTCAAACCTGAAGGGATGGCAGACCGCTGGGTGGCATGAGGGAGTCGAAAACGAGGCACCTCACAAAATGCCTACCCTGACCAGGACTTGGGTTGATTTCAAGCTCCCAGAGTGAAATGGCGAAAGGCCATACACAACACAGACTTCGACTTGAATATTATTACTACGACAGACTGCCGCGCCATGCGTTTACCACAAGCGTTTTTGCATTCGTCTTCAGCGTTATACCGGTCTTGCATATAAGGACCATGTTCGATACGCGCTTTATGATACCAGTCATCATTGTGAAAAAGGGAGGGCCAACGGGTGGCTCGTGGCGATGCATAGAGGTACGATTGGGGCGGGGAAAAGCAGCTGCTGGAAGGAAAAGGCCCTAAATAAGCATTATAGCCGAAGGGAAGGCCCTTAATTAAGTGATGGGCGTAAAAATAGGAAGCCACTAGGTAGCCAAACACGCAGGACTAGAATCATAGGAATTAATTCAATGCGGTGGTCTTTAAGTATCGCACTTCTCATATTAGAAGAGTTGTTGAAATGTTGTAGGCGATCGGATTTAGTTAGGGGTAGAGCCGCGGGTCGTTGACATCACAGCCAAGATTTATCCGTGCACCCACCACCTACGAAGCTGCCCGTCTGGCACCAAGACCCAAAACACGCCGAGGTTCAATTGCGTTCAACCTCAACTTCAACACTTCATCATGCGGCACTTAGCGGCTCTCCTGCTGCTCAGCAATGCAGCAAGCTCCATTGCCGCGTCCGAGCCGGCTCGGCCTCGTGGTGTGGGACCTGATTGTTCGTCTTGAGCCCCAATCCCCCTCCACCTGCCCTCATACCAAGTAGAACGTCAGGGCATGATTGAAGCTAACACATCATCTCTACAACTAGTCGCGAAGCACTACAAGGGCTCCAAAGACATATTCACCTGCATCACAGCTCCCTCGGTCGTAATCCCTTTCTCGAGCGTCAACGACGACTACTGCGACTGTCCCGACGGGTCAGACGAGCCAGGGACATCAGCCTGCACGTACCTCTCGTCGCTGTCGCCCACCCAGCCCGTCCCCGGCACATCCAGCGGCACCAGTAATACGACTCTGGCGCTGCCAGGTTACTACTGCAAGAACAAGGGCCACCAGCCGGGCTACATCCCGTCCAGCTACGTCAACGACGGGGTGTGCGATTACGACCTCTGCTGCGATGGTAGCGATGAGTGGGCTGGTGTCGGCGGGGTGGCGTGCGAGGACAGGTGCGCGGCGATGGGCAAGGAGTGGCGGAAGAAGGAGGATGAGCGCGTGAGGAGCGCGAGGGCTTCGCTGCTGAAGCGCGGCGAGCTGCTTAAGCAGGCTGAGATGCTCAGAATTGGGATCCAACAGCGGATTGATCAGTTGGAGGGCGAAGTCGTGACACTGCAAATAAAGGAAGAGGAGGCAAGACGGCGGCTCGAGGATGTCGAGTGGTCGGAGCGGAGCAAGGTTGTTAAGGGCGCGAGTGAGAAGGCATCGAGAGTTACGGTTTTGGCCAAGTTGGCGAAGGCAAGGGTGGAGGAGTTGAGGAACAGCCTGACAAGCTTGATTGAGAAGAGGAATGCGGCGAATTCGAGGGTTCAAAAGCTTGAGTCGATTCTGGAAGCGTTTAAGGTAGAGTACAACCCGAATTTCAACGATGAAGGAGTGAAGCGCGCTGTCAAGGCTTGGGAGGACTACGTGGCCGAGAAGGACACCAGCTCTGATTCCGATGCGACCGGGTTTGAGAAGGACCTGGAGGAGATTGGGAAGCCAGATAGCGAGGAGCAGGGTATCAACTGGGCAGAGTGGGAGAAGGAGGAGGAGGAAAGTGATGTTGAAGCTCGTAAGTTTATACCGCCTACCACACATAATATGGTTACAGCAAAGCTAATTCTTCTACTCATCAGTCTACAGCTTTGAAGCCTACCTTCCCCCATCCCTCCGTACCTGGGTCCACGACAAAGTTCGGTCCTTCCGTCGCACTCTTGTCGATAATGGTCTCCTTGCAGACACCACTGGCCCCGCCGACAGCGAATCCCGCGCTGTTACTGAGGCCCGCAACGCATACAACAACATAAAGAGCGATGGAGAGTCGAGACGATCCGAGCTGGAGGACAAGAAAAACGACCTCAAAGCCGACTACGGACCACAGGACGTCTTCCGCGCCCTCAAGGGTAAATGCGTTGACATCGATTCAGGCGAGTACACGTACGAGTTGTGCTGGATGGACAAGAGCACGCAGAAGTCGAAGAAGAATGGTGGGAGCACGCAACTGGGCACTTTCAAGAGATTTGATACCGTCGAGGTGGATGAGGATGTTGGCGCTGATGGGAGGGGCCTTGGGGTTGGAGAGAGACTCTCGATGGTATTTGAGGATGGAGCGCAGTGCTGGAATGGGCCGAAGAGAAGCACCATTGTCGTTATGGCGTGTAGAGAGAAGGATGAGGTGTGGCGGGTGGTCGAGGCGGAGAAGTGCGTTTACAGGATGGAAGTCGGCACGCCTGCTGTCTGCAAGGACAGCGCTGGCGAGCAGAGAAAGCCAGTTAAGGACGAGCTATAGTTGGAGGGAGAGCTGGGTTATTTGGTAGTATAGACAGTATAAAAGATGAGCAATTGGCCTGTACCACGAATAAAATATTAAAATGCAGTTGAAGCTTTTGAGAATATATTTGATAATTGCTATATTAATTAAACCACTAACTGCAAATTTATGTACCAACCCAAAGCCAACTAAATCATAACAGTGTTCGGCACGGGTAGGTATATACAGTAAAATCTCGATAACACGATGGATAGCATCCCGTAATTTCATATCGTGTTAACAAGATTATCGCGGTATCAAATACACGCGACTACGTTATCCAACTGTCCAAAGTGCCTTGAATGCCCTCATTTGCCTGCTTAACCTTGACAAGCCGCTCAAGCCGTTCTAAAGTTCTTAAATACTCCGTACTTAATACGCCACTATTCCCAGCCTCAAGAAACTCAATCAGAACTTGTGTGGCTTCTAAAGCTGACTGAGTTGTTGGCACAGGCAGCAAGACTTGCTCACTGCTTTTGTCATCATCTTGAGCTCCAGGATCCTCAACATCTTAAGTATAATGTGAAAGAACTTCTTGTAATGCCTCTTGATCTTGATCCTGCTCTCCACTACTGTGTATATTTTCTTCACTTGGATTAAGGAAGTTTGCAATATCCATAGCGTCATGAATTTGCCCAGAGTTTCGTACTTGATTGTACAAGTTGTCAAGTGCTGGAAGAGATTGGATTGAACGCTGTATTGGGTTTCGAAGCATTGTGCTTTTTCAGAAGCAGTTATATATTGTTGTATCTGTAACATCATGATGCCAGGACCAAAGAAGCCAGCGAATAGTGAAGTGTAAGTTAATAGAGTTGAAGGGATTCATGTTATTCTCAAATGCATTAAGCATGTATTCAAGCCACTGTCGACGGTAGTGGGCTTTAAGGGAGGCAATAATACCTTGATCAAGGGGTTGAAATCGACTTGTTGAGTTTGGAGGAAGCCAGAGAATTCTAATATTTGAAGGAGGTGGAGCTGCTTCAATAGCAGCAATATGTGCTGAGAAGTTGTCCATGGTAAGAAGTACACTCCTCGTTGTGCCGATATGTAAGTAAAAGGCTTGTAACCATTCAACCATAAGAAACTGATTCATCCAAGCTTTCTTGTTTGACTTCCAAACTCCTCCCATAGATCCTATGTTAACGTTTCGAAGAGCTCTTGGTGTTTTTGCATGCCCAATAAACCATAGAGGAAACCGATCTGATCCAGAAGCATTTGTACAAATAACAACAGTGATACGAGCTTTGTTATGCTTTCTTCCAGGTCTTGACGTTGATGACAACCCTCTTGAAGGGGACATCTTCCAGAAAAGCCCTTCTCATCCATGTTATAGATATTGTCCTCCTAAAAATCCCCATCAATAGTCTGAATAGCTCGCATCTCTTCTTCTGCATTAAGGTTGACTTGACAGAGGAGGCAGGGGATTAAACACAAAGGCTTTCCAAGTAACACATTACAGTATTGTAAAGAATACTATATTGAGTTGAGCATGAAGCTCCTATCTAAGAAATACTATCTACTTATATAGTGGCGTCGTGCCTCATGGGTAATCTGGATAGTTGGCGGATAGCTAGATATTCAGGATAGTTCGTGGATAGCTCAACTATCCAATATCCACTAGTTTCTGCAACTATCCATTAGCCCTGTTGTCATACTGACATTCGTTGCACTCAGTTTGCTATCAAACTCAAGAGCAAACTTGGAAATCTCCTCCTCAAACCTACAAGTCACTATACATATTTTGGCTTATCACACCAACAACAAGAGCAATACTACTCAACGATTGCTACAACCATCTATGATTCATTACACGTCATCGCTCCTTAGTTACTGGGCCGATATTACCACATAGCATATCTCTACAACCCTCTATGATTCATTACATGACATCACTCATACTACCACATGACATATCTCTACCAACTAGAGGCCTAGGAGCATGAACGATAGCTCTAAAAGCTCCTACGAACCTCTATGATTCATTACATGTCATCGCTCTTTAGTTACCCACAAGATTGGTTAAGTTATGACATAATTTGTCTATGACATAATTTGTCTATGACATAATTTGTCTATAGGGGTACTCTGACCTTGGACCTCCTTTTACTTCCTATAGGCTACGAACCTAAGAGATGGTTCTATGGGAATCTCTTACGTCGACTACAGTTACCAAGCCTGGTAAGTCATGGAAAGTCTTGGAAAATGAGAGAACTACACTCCTTTAGCATAAATAGGATTGCCCTTTCCTTAAGAAAGGGCAAGCAGACAATACAGTAAATCGACTATCACATACTTCCACGTCTTTTCCAAGCTTCCAAGCATTCATCTTGTTACTCCTTGTTTCTGAAAAGTCAGTGAGGTGTTAACCTCTGACTTACCCCTGAGTTTCCAGACTCAACATTTGTTGCAACTTGTCTGAACCACTTCACTACATCACACACCTGATTGCTGCGTTGTGGAATAGTCTAAGCTACGACCCTTTGGCTCTTTTTCCTAAGACAGTGTGTTGTCTTAGTAAAATCATCCCTTCCTTGGGTGGCTAGATTCTCACATCTGGTGCACCCACCATTACATCTGGCTTACCCCTGAGTTCCCAGACTCAACATTTGTTGCAACTTGTCTGAACCACTTCACTACATCACACACCTGATTGCTGTAATGGTGGGTGCACCAGATATGAGAATCTAGCCACCCAAGGAAGGGATGAATTTACTAAGACAACACACTGTCTTAGGAAACAGAGCCAAAGGGTTGTAGCTTAGACTATTCCACAACGCAGCAATCAGGTGTATGATGTGGTGAAGTGGTTTAGACAAGTTGCAACAAATGTTGAGTCTGAGAACTCAGGGGTAAGTCAGAGGTTAGCACCTCACTGACTTTTCAAAAACAGAGAATAACAAGATCAATGCTTGGAAGCTTGGAAAAGACGTAGAAGTATGTGCTAGTCGATTTACTGTATTGCCTGCTTGCCCTTTCTTAAGGAAAGGGCAATCCTATTTATGCCAAAGGAGTGTAGTTCTCTCATTTTCCATGACTTTCCATGACTAACCAGGCTTGGTAAATGTATTAGAAATCAAGTGCGACCCACAACTAGCTTGCTAATCATGTAGTGAACGTAAGAGAATCCCATAGAACCATCTCTTGGGTTCCTAGCCTATAGGAAGTGAAAAGGAGGTCCAAGGTCAGAGTACCTATAGACAAATTATGTCATAACTTAACCAATCTTGTGGGTAACTAAGGAGCGATGACGTGTAATGAATCATAGAGGGTTGTAGAAGCTTCTAGAGCTATCGTTCATGTTCCTAGGCCTCTAGTTGGTAGAGATATGCCATGTGGTAGTATTGGCCCACCCCCTTAAGGAGGAGATTTTCTTAATAACTTGTTCAATGAGTGTCCAAATGATATGCCGTGATGTATGTAGCTGTTACGACGGAACAAGAAGGCTGGCCAACTACAGGACAGGAAGGAGGGAGGTCGCATGAGACCGGCCCTGGTACCTGGAGGGGCAGCGGGGAATAGTAGTTCCGAAAGTATCACGTGATGGACTCGCAGGATGATGAGAAGAGTCCTAAGAGTCCAGGACTCCGAGGACTCGAGTGAGCTCCCAGGAGTCCACTAGGCACGTGATGGACTCGCAGGATGATGAGAAGAGTCCTAAGAGTCCAGGACTCCGAGGACTCAAGTGAGTTCCCAAGAGTCCACTAGGCACGACGCCACTATATAAGTAGATAGTATTTCCTTAGATAGGAGCTTCGTGCTCAACTCAATACAGTATTTGTTATATACTAGTAACGTGTTACTTGAAGCCTTTGTGTCTGATCCCCTGCCTCCTCTGATAAGTAAACCTTTACGCAAGAGAACCTCTGTGTCTTCTATCGTTTAGAAGTCAGCGTTACACTTTGAGCACCACTTCTACGAGGTACCGGCTTACACACAAAGCAACATGTCTGTCGTCAGTTCGAAGGGGAAAACCCCCACCACGCCAACTTCGTCTCAGAGGTCTAAGCCTGAGAATGAAGAGATGCCCGATGCACCCACCGTCAACGAACTCAAGGAAACTCTACGCGTCAAGTTGCCCGACACTTACTCCGGCAACCGAAAGGAACTTGAGGTGTTTTTGCTACAGGTCGAACTGTACCAGCACTTCAACGACGAGAAGTTTCCCACCCAGGAGAGCTATGCCCTGTGGACTGCGTCCTACCTTAGGGGGGAAGCCCTGCGATGGATCGAACCATTCCTCAAGGACTATTTCAAATATGAAAGTACCAATGGAAGCATGACAACTACGCAGACTATGTTTGGCAGCTGGAATGGATTCTGTAAGGAAATCCGACGCATGTTCGGAGACATCGATGAGATTAAGACCGCAGAAGACCATCTGTTTGCACTTAAGCAGACTGGCAGCGCCCTCACATACTCCACAGAATTCCAGAGATACGGCAATCAGACAGGATGGGACGCCAGCGCACTCATCAGCCACTACCGACGTGGGCTGAAGAGCCATATACGTATGGAACTTGCCCGTTTGGAACAACAACCAACGGACATGGTAGCGCTAATCGAACATACGGTCCGAATCGACAATCGACTATACGAATTCCAGAAGGAACGTCGGACCTATGACAAGCCCAAGAAAAGTTACCCCTACCGGGGAAACGAGGGCAGACGACGGGATCAACACCCGCGAGACAACCGTTGGTCGGACCCAATGGAACTCGATGCCACGTTCAAACCTGGACGACCCCGTGACCCTAAGAAAGACAGACAATTCAAGGAACGACTCTGTTTTAACTGCGACAAGCCAGGCCACATGGCCCGAGACTGCAGACAGCCAAAGAAAGGGAACGGCGGACGCAAAGTCGGCAAGCAACTTAACGCCACCTGGACAGGACAGTTGAACGCAACGTTTGTGAGCAAACAGGACTGGGGAATAAACGGCGAAAGCACCCCAGAAGACGAGAGCTCAGATGAAGGGTCGGAGGCGGAATCGTTCACCGTCTCGGAACAGGAGACCTTCGATGAACTCGCACCTACGGAACCAATGAGTCCACGGTGCAAGAGCGTA